TCTCTCTCTCTCTCTCTCTCTCTCTCTCTCTCTCTCTCTCTCTTTCTTTCTTTATTGGTTTTAAGAGTTTTGAAAATGTTTCTGATCAAATTTTCCATTGTTCTTTTCTTGCTTAGGTGAAAAGGCAGATATTTTGTAGGTGCTTCCTCCACTATTTCCACTGACTCATTCATAATATTTGTTAAATAAGAAGTATAGTAGTACTCTGTGAATAAACATCATACTTTGGGTAGATGTAGTGCAACTTGTGGGAACAAATGTGCACATTCTCACTGGGTAAACTTCTGATTCATCAGGCTGTGGGCAGATTAGTGCATATATCAGAGTGGTACTAGAGAGTTTACTTTCTGTTAATTAATTTTGTATTGTGTGTGCATGTTCATAAGCATGCAGGTGCACATGTGTGTGCTTGTGTGAAGACGTCAACCACATGTATTGTTTCATAGGCACTGTCCACCTTTCCTTTGAGACATGATTTCTCACTGGCCTGGAGCTCTCCAGGTAAGCTAGATGGCCAACTAGTGATCCCCAGGGAACATGCTTGTCTCTCTTCCCTAGTGCAAAAATGACAAAAACACGATACAGCTTTTTTTTTATTGGATTCTAAAGCTCAAACTCAGGTCCTCATGGTTGTGTTCCAAGCAATTTACTGAGGGAGCCATCCTCCCAGCCTCATTTATTGATTGTTGAGTGATAAAATAGACGTATATTATTCTACTCAGTGTGGACTAAAATGCTTTGCTACAACCTACTTGCTAGATAGAAGTGCTTCCTGACTTGACTGGCCATCCTTAAGCTTGCAATCAGTATCCTAAAGCTTTTCAAGGTGTAGAAATAATTTGGACTGCATATATTACAGTAGGAAAGCAGTTTTATGATAGGTCATGCATTCTAATCATAGTGACCCAAACTGGGAAGTTGTGTGCACCACACAGTCACAGTAGAATGCTTTCTGTTTCCAAGTCAGCCTTTTCTATCATTCTCTGTTCAGGATGTTTCTTTCTATTCTGTATCACAGCCTTGAACATTTCTGGTGGATACCTGGGGTAAACTCCAACCTCTGCATTTTTATGTTGCGTGCCATTGTTTGTCTTCTTTTATTGTAGCAGGAACCACATACTGCATCTCTTTTCTGGTTCAGTAGTGAACAGGTCATGGTCAGAAGCTTTCTACAGCTGGGAGGAACGTGACTGCAGCTCAGGTTCATCTGAACTATATCAAGAGAACAATGGGAAATATGTTACCAGATGCTATCAACTTCTATCCCATCTGTCCATTGTCAATTAAAGTTGCAGTTCCATCCACCACTTTTAAGAGCAATAATGTTAAGATATATTTTCCATATTATGAAATTGAGTTGTGTTTATGCGCAATCCAATGGCCATCAGGGATTTTACTAAATGTAACTATCTTCCTGATTCAAGTGTTGATCATTTTAATCCCTCCAAGTGAACTCCTCATTCCCATTTTTAGTTATATTCTATTTCCATGCTCGCCTTAGACAAGCATCAACACCTTTTATGTTTTATAAGTGTTCCCTTATTGAATATCTATGTACACAGGACTATACCACATGTTCTGCTCTACTTCTAATTTCTTTCATCTGAACAATGGCATGCGTCTACCCCAACATAGTGTATAATAACAGTTTATGCGTATATATGGCTGAACAGCATATATATCCCATCATGCTGATGTCTTAGACATTTGTTTGCATATCATTGCACAGAGAGTCGTTCAATAAAGCCATTGAATAGACTACTTTTCCCCAATGAATTGCTTTGCACCTTTGTAACATGCCAATCGATTGTGTCCGTGAGTGTTGTGTGTGCTTATATATCCATACCTATCACTCTATCTAGTCAGTCTTGCGTCAGTGATCTGTGCTTCTCTCTCCTATGCTGAACTCACCCCAATGATTGTGACTCAGTTTTGAAACTGGAAGTGAAAGGGGCCCATCTTTATTTTTTCCAGAATCCATTTAGTTATTCTAGCTTGGCCTTCTCATATGAAGTTTAGTGGTTGTTGAAATGGCTGCTAGAAAAAAAAAACCTATTTGAATTTTGATAGAATTGCATCCAGGTTCTATTTAATCTCTAGATCAGTGGGGAGTGAGTGACAGTCTGTGAGCATGAAGGGCCTCTTCATTTGTTTCTGTCTTTACTTTTTTGCTGTAACATTTTATAACTTTCTGGGTACAAATATTGTACTTCTCAAATTTATTCCTTTGATTTTGTTTGATGCTATTGTAAATAGGACCATGTTCTAAATTTCACATTCAGATGGATTACTGTTCATATGTGGAGTTCAATAGAACTCATTTATTTTGATGACTACTAGAGAAATTTATGTTCTAACAAGGCACTGGCTGATTTAAAGTAGTGCCATAAATTCTGAAGGAGAATATAAACCTCTCATGAATAAAACCATATCTTATTTATCAGAGTACAACCTGAAATCCTTCAGCTATGTTTTGCACACAATGGGATCTTATCTTATTGCTATTGAATAAACATATGTATTTTGGAGCATTATCTTTTTAGTTTAAAATAATTATTTCACATTTGTCAGTTGCCTTGATTCTCTCTTGATTTACATATTTGATATGAGTCAAAAATTCAACATAGATTCTTATCACATTGGAAATTCTTATTTTAATACCATGCATGATGTTACATTCCTATAGTTCCAACACTCTGGATGCTGAGGTAGGAGGATGGTTGTGAGTTCAAGTACAGCTTCACTTCCAGTGAGTTTCAGGTTATCTAGACCTACATAATCTGTAGATACACTCTGTATCTAATTATTACTATTTTATTACTTATTATTATATAGCAATAATAAAAACAAAAGGAAGTACAGAGTTGTATTGTTGATAAGAATAAAAGTTTATGCAATGATATTATGTATTAGCATTGTGTCTTTTATTATGAATATCTATAGTTCAGTAACACATAATTTTTACTTGATGGATGATAATTTTCAATCAGGAGTATATTTGTTTCTTCAAAAATGTTTCAGACTCTGTCTTCTGGGTTATGCACTTGTAAGCATTTCCAAGAGAATACTGATGTTACAACATACCTGTGTAATTGTTCCTGAGCACAACTACTGCCTCCACTTCTCCACACTACACAGTTCGGGAAGGTTTATTAAATTTCAAAGCAGAGTAAGTATCGGACTGTCATGAGGGGAAGCCTTGTCCCAGCGCTGCCTACACAGATAAGAGGCGTTTGCCTTATAAAGTGCATTTGTAGAATGTATGAGTCGACTTCTGCAGACTGAACAGTAGATATGATGATAGACCAATCACTGACAGACTGCCAAACTTGAATGAGAAGACCATGTGTCAGTTCCATGTTTTGTCTGATTATCTGCTTGTCCCAGGTTTTATTTTCTTTAATGAGGTAATATATTACTAATATTTCTTCTAAAATAGACTTGGGAGGGTTATTATATCCTTCTGGCACTTTCAGCTTCTTCATGGCATTCTGTAGATATTTG